ATTGCAGCCTCCTTCTTTGTTTTTTTGAAGAGACTCTCTTTGCTCCAGTGTAGGTTTGACTCTGGTAAAATTCAGATGGCTATAGCTATGCGGGTTTGTTCCTGGGTCTTCTTTACTCCTCCTCTCTTCTGCATATAGCCCAAGCTTGCCTGCAAATGAGATTCTGGTGAAATGAATCCCAGTGAAATGACTTTCCAGATGTCCTTCTATGAGCATGTTACATGGAGGAGATCTTTTCTCTAGGGAAAGTGTTCCAAACACATTCACACTTTTAAGAACTTCCAACCTTTTGATGAGTGTTTAGCCAATGCCTGAGATGTTCTCAGTGTATCCTTCCCATTGCTCTGGTACAAAACTTCATGTCAATGGTGCTAATCTACCAAACAGATCTCATATTGTCATCCTTCTTATCTCTATTGATCAAAGAAGTTGGGCTTGCAGTTATAAGTCACTGCACCAACATAAACCCAATGTTTTTAAAATACAAAAGTATGAAACATAATTATACATAACATTGAGTTTTGATTTCCATTTTTTCCTCTCCTCCCTAGCATAGACTTTTCATGATCTGCCTCTAGGAACATTCCAGAAAACTATTTCCATCTTCAGGTTGACCACAAGACTCAGTAGCTAAGCCTTTTCTCTTCTCAAAAAGCTCTTTAATTATTGTCTATTAAATATTATTACTTCCTCCTTCTGTTCTGATATCATAGTATCTCTTTTTAATAATTCAGATAAATAAATTAATGTGAGTGATATAAACAAGTTGTGCCACTGGAAAAAAATCACAAAATTCAGCTTTTTTGACCAGTTTTTGACCAGTCTTTGCTTACTGAGAACCACTATGTGATACTAGTGTTGCAAACTCCACTTCAAATGCAAGTCAAGGCAACTGCTATAATTGGTCCATAAGGAAAATAATACAGCCTATAATGGAAGGATGTAGTGTTGAAAACAAAGATGTGTGTGTTCCAAGCTAATTGCTTCCTTTATCAGCACCAAGACACAGTGAGAGGAATAATGGTTTCTGTGACACAGAGCATGAGGCCGGACTGTAAGGCTTGAGGTAGAGCCATCAGCCCATCAGTGTAATCTTCAGTAGCACTCAGAAGCCCCTCCTCTTTAGCAAAATGACGTCTTAGAAATCGCATAGGGGACACACATCCTGGTCCAACAACTACACAATGGCCATTCAATACTCAGAATTCATGGAGAACTTAAAGGTTTTTTTCTTGAACTGCTGTAAAATGTGTGAGGACAGGACTAGGCCTTGAAACAGATGGAATAGGAACAACTTTGTGAATATTGGAGGAAAGATTCACAGTCTAGACACTGGTTTGCCAAACCGAAAATCCTGGATATTGCTATATCACAAGTCAGCCACCAGAGGGCAGGCCAATCTCACAATCACCAGTGGGCAGGACAATCTCACAATCAGCAAAGTCCCAGAGTCCAGATCTTGAAAGATGGTGGAGAGCAGGAGTAATGCTTGCCTGAGGCTGGCAAGTTACCTGCACAGCTATCGTGGTGCACATGTGCCTGAAATACTACTCACACTGCCATGGTTCTCCATGTGTGGGTTTCTGAATATTTTCTACTTTAATTGATCTGTAATAAGCACACCCTGACAATGACGCTCCTTTTCACCAGGATTCTGGGAATGGAGTAAGAATTCCAGTTCAACAGTAGACCAATGTGTAAGAACAAGTGCGGCCCTCTGGGGTATTACAAGCCAAGTGTGCACAGTCAGCATGAACTGGCCTTGTGGATTCTCAGTAGGACAGAATACACTGAAGTCCCACCTTCAAAGAGATTCAGGTAAGAGATATTTGAGTATATGTGGAAGAAACTGGAAATGGAAAAACTTTGAAATTTTAGTGCTATCCCAGAACCTGTTTTTCAGAATCCTCAGCAAAGAGCAAGACACACAATAGATGTAAATTTTACAACCTGATCGACATGCCCTCCTGTGTGTCTAAGCAGAAGACATGCTGGCTGAGAGGACAAATGTCGCTGTACAAGAGAGACATTTGGAAATTTTCCTTATGATTGCTGAGAACAGCAGAGAAGTCAGACAGTCCCACAGAGCAGGCAAATCTCTGAGCTCCTGATGACTCAGTCTCTCAACTTGGTCATGGCCTTTCAGCTGGGTTCAATTCCAGGGAGTGGTGAGAATTTTCCTTCACTGAATCCAAGGCCACCATAGGGGAGGACCTTTGTAACTCCAGATTCTCAGCTCCATCACTCTGGAGGGTGACTGCTTCTTCTATAGCCCAGAGCAAGAATGACAGAGGCTCCTGATCCAAATCTCCACTTTCTTCCAGTACCTGAAAGTTTAGCTCAACCTTCACATCTCCACACTCCCTAAAGCCACATGAACAATTATAACAAATTCATAGTTACATTTTGGTCCTGACTTGTTCCAACCTCACCACAGTAAGTTGTCCATGGCATCTGCCTTCTTCCCGCTACTTAGATGCTTGTGATGCACCACTAAGACTCTCAGAATTCCAAGACTCTGGGGTGTGCATGGTGAAGGCAAAGATGGTTCCTCTTGCTGTGAAACTGGACTGAGATGTCCAAGGAAAGGCATGACATTGATCAAATTTCTATTTATATTTTATCCAGATCCAACATGTTTCTTCAGAGACATTTTTGCCATGACACTGTTATTTTATGTTGTTAGTTTTCCAGAAGTCACAGGCTCAGGGTGATCAGAGCTGGACTTGTTTAAAAAAATCTTTTGTTTATTGTAATGGTGATGAACCAGGGCATTACAGTTACATAAGTAAGATAATGATTACATTTCTTTTTAAACTCTTACCTTCTCCCTCATTTTATCCCACCTATCCATCCCCACTATTCCCCACAAGTTGTAAATTTCATTTCCAAAATAGTGCCAAGTGAATATCATTGTTGCTTTAGTTCATTTTTGTCCTCTGAAGTCGTATATGCAGTTATTTATATTTTTTCCTCTGTTCTACATTATGTACACTTTGTCTTCTTTATGAGTTTATCTGATCCTTGAGAAGGGACATTCTCTGTCTCTGTCTCTCTCTTTCTCTTCCTCTGTCTCTGTCTCTCTATTTCTCTCTGTGTCTGTCTCTCTGTGTCTCTCTCTGTCTCTCTTTGTCTCTCTCCTCTCTCTGTCTCTCTTACCACCCCCCTCTCCTAGAGATATGAACTTTATCCTAGAGATGCAAGCATCAATACTGGTATCTGAGCAGGCATGGTGTTTCCACTCAGTGGGAGAGGATAACGACAGAGGCATGTATGTTTTGGTAGCAGTGATTTTCACTGAAATAATCATGCTTAGAATCAACACATCACTTCATGCTGACAAACTGTGAGAGGTAATGTCAAATGGCACAAAGATGACAAAATATGAAAAGTCTTAGATTAAGATAAAATACTGTCTATTTAGTACTGAGGAAAGAAGACAAGTAAAGTTCCAATGGTGGCATATTTGTGAGTCATTATTGAGAAATCAGAGTAAAAATGTATCTGCAAAAATTGCTTCAACGTATATTGTCATAGCCATTACTAAAACTACCACAAAATGTTTTTCAATACATTCAGTATGTCTCATACTATCTCTTTAGTTAAAGAACTTAGACCACTGAGCACCATGTCTGATGCTTGAAATCCTAGTTACTCAATAGGCTGAGTTGCAAGGATTGCAATTTGAAGATAGCTCAGGCAGGAAAGTCCATGAGACTTTTACTTCCAATTAACCATCCAAAATCTGCAAGTGGAGCTGTGGCTAAAGTCGTTTAGGAGAGTGCTAGCTCAAAATCTAAGGGATGGAACCCAGTCCTGAGTTCATATCCCAGGAAGAGTATATATATACAGAGAGAGAGAGAGACAAGAAAGGAAAGAAATCATTTTTTGCACGTGCCAATGGCTAATACCTATCAACCTACCTATTCTTGAGCACGAGATATGAGAATGATTGCTCAAAGTCATCCTGCGTAAGAAAGTCTTTGAGATTCTTATATCCAATTAATAACTAAAAAGACAAAATGGAAGTGTGCCTCATGTGGTAGAACGTTAATATTAAAGTATACAGCTAAAGGACAGCACCAAGACCCTGAGTTCAATACCCATGGTCAAAAATCTAAACTAATAGGAAGGAAGGAAGGAAGGAAGGAAGGAAGGAAGGAAGGAAGGAAGGAAGGGAGGGAGGGAGGGAGGACAGAAGAGAAGAGAACAGAAGAGAAGAGAAGAGACATGAAGAGAAGGAAGAACATGGAAAAGAAAGAAAAGAATTTTCAATGTATAATTACTTCATATGGAAAACACAATGTGGGTTTTTTTCCAGGCAGAATTATTGAGAGTGAATAAAAGATCTAAATAGAAACAAGAATATGTTTCAATATAAATATAAAATTGTTGGTTACGTCAGTTGTTTCTGTGTATTATGTTCTGAAAATAAAATTAAAAATGTCTTCTACAGTCAAATGTTCTCTGAGGACAAACACGTTCTCTGCAGGCAAATTTATGTTTCTCTTGTTTGGTCTGGGACACCTGTGGATTCAAGGCTTGTTTTGACTCACTGAGTTGAGCCAATCTTGAAGCTGTGCCTAGCCCTGCCCACAACCAGCGGATTTCGATGTGCTCAGAGCCAGCCCACAGGAGATCTTCATAGGCTGAACACATCTTCATAGGCTGCTCACACCCTTTGCAGTTGTCAGTCCCAGTCAGCACACAGCATGGACATGAGGACCCCTGCTCAGCTCCTGGGACTCCTGCTGCTCTGCCTCCCAGGTAAGGAAGGACAATGCTGGGGATTAACTCAGACTAGTACAGTTGGGGCTGCCTCCTACTTCAGGGAAGCCTCTTGTACCATGATTATCACGGTGGATATTTGTTTTTATGTTTCCACTGCCAAGGTGCCAGATGTGACATCCAGATGACCCAGACTCCATCCTCCCTGTCTGCATCTCCAGGAGACAGAGTCACCATCAATTGCAGGGCCAGTCAGGGCATTAACAAGTATTTAGCCTGGTATCAGCAGAAACCAGGGAAAGCTCCTAAGCAACTGATCTATTACACATCCAGTTTGATCTCTGGGGTCCCATCCAGGTTCAGTGGCAGTGGATCTGGGACAGATTACTCTCTCACCATCAGTAGTCTACAGACTGAAGATGTTGCCACATATTACTGTCTGCAGTATGATAAAATTCCTCACACAGTGATACAAGTCATAACAAAAACCTCCCAGGGAAGCAGAAGTGAGAGGCTAGGCTGCCTCCACCTGCTGACACAGCTTCTCAGACTCTTCTCTGAGGGTCACTGCAATATTTGGTGATTGGACAGCATTCTCTCTATGCTGGCTGTTAGCAGCAGTGCAAACATGGCATTGCTTCTGCTGATTCAATAGAGAACATAAATCACAGCATGGGAGGAGTCTGTGAGAGCAAAAATTGAGGTTCATTTGTAAAGTAGGAAGATGCTAGCCAATCCAAGTTGGTTATATCTAATACAAGAAATTTATTCTAAGCTACTGCCATTCATAGATTGGGTTACATTACTGAGTAAAGCTAAATACAGAAATGGAGTATTCTCTGCTGTTCCTTCAGACCCAGATCATCTACCTGTGAAACTGGAAGCCTCCTCACCTAGGTCCTTGCCTTGCCCAGTCTAGAAGCACAGGGGTGGGTAACAATGCTCTCAACTGCTAGTAGATCCAGACAGGTGACCTCAATCCTCCCCTCCACCCCAGTGTCTGCTGCAGGTTTCAGTTCATTCTAAGGCAAACTCTAACTTTACATCTTCGTGAGGACTCCTCAAGCAGAAACTCTCCAGGAAATACTGGTGAAAATGGCTTCCAGAAGTAAATGATGAGAGAAGTTGCACATGCACAGAAAAACAATGATTACAACAAGCTAATGCCCACTCTATTGTTTTGTTAGAAATCACTTTGTTCTGCACTGCTAGGTCCTTTTCCTGATCTGTTTCTGTGTGTGTGCTCGTCAGGGACTAGGTGCTGTCCTGAGCTTTTTGTATTCAAGGCTACTGTACCACTCCAGCCACAGCTCCACTTGTTTTTTTGGGGGGGGTTGCTTAATAGTATATAGAGTCTCATAGACTTTCCTACCCAGGCTGACATCAAATATCAGTCCTAAGATCTCAAACTCCTGAATAGCTAGAATTAGAGGAGTCAGCCATTTGGTCCCTAGTTCCTGACTTTTTATTTTCATTATTAAGGAGTTGTAAACAAAAGTTATAAGTCCATGAGTAAGATCAATTGTATTTCCTCACTTTTTATGCTGTCACTTGACTATTTTATGTTTGCACCTACTTCCAGTACACTGATTGAACTATGGTAGCTTTAAAGCAAAGAAGGAAAGGAAAGTCAGAAGATATAATGCCAGATTTCTGAACTTAAAGACATTCTGGGATATCCTGAGTTTGGAAATTATACTTTAAATTATTCTTTAAATTATACTTTAAATATTCCTTTGGGGACTTTTACTTTTGCATTGTGTTAATTCTATATTTTAAATTGCAGAAAAATAAAAAAGATATTGTATTCCATTTATGAATATGGAAATATTTTCAAGTAGCTATGTCTCCCTCAATCTAACCAGGGTAGTTCTCTATTCACTGTGTTTCCACAGACTTTACACAGTTTTTATTATTTCCATTAATTTATTTTTATATTCCTTATTAACAAATAAAGATACTTTACTACTTTCTCAATTTAATGTCTTCTTTTATTTCTTGCTTTACACAATGCAAAAGTAAAAATCCCCAAAGGAATATTTAAAGTATAATTTAAAGTATAATTTAAAGTATAATTTAAAGTATAATTTCCAAACTCAGGATATCCCAGAATGTCTTTAAGGAAGACATCCTGTATAATTTTGTATGTGGAGGGATAGTAAGCATTTCAGCATTTAATACAATGTGATGGGAAAAATGTCAAACTATTTCAATACCATGTATGATATTTGTCATAATTTTTATATGTATATACTTTAAACCAGTAAGGTGTTTTTCCATTATTTCTCTCCTCCTTAGACATGAATGGCTTTTGAATGATCATGAATAGTTGTAGAATTTTAAAATATTTTTAACTACTATACAACTATTATCTTGTTCCTAATCTTGTAGAATGGTAAATTAAATGGACCAAGAGATTATTTTTTAAATCATCTAATTTTACAGTGGCTTTCCATTTGTGTAATATATTTAACTTGCTCAAAATGGAGTCATTGAGAGAAGGAAGAGGCAGAAACTGAAGAGGAAGAAGAGAACAAAATGAAATTCTCCCTTTTATAAGATAATTTTTGACAATGTGAGGAGGAGAAAAAAAGCAGAAGCATCTTGGTATGCATGGTCAAAGTCAGAGGAGATTGTTGTGAACTATCCTGAAATGAGATTCGAAGACATGTGAGACAGTGAAAACACATGACTGAAATCTGGCATAGCCATAGATGAAGAGACTTTAAACTCATACAAATACAATGTGAAGTGGGACAATTTGGTGATACTTGGGTTGAAACTAGGGCATAAATAGCCCAGCCCAGCCCTGAGCAGCAGCCAACAACAGCAGAGGCAGCAGCTGAGGTGGCGGTAGCAGCAGTGATGAAAGGCTCCAGATGTCTAGCACACTGCCTCTCCACATCAGTCTGTGGGAACAGGCCAGCCCAGCCTGGAGAAGAGGCCAAAGCAGTGGCACCAGCAAACAAGCCCAGGCTCCCTGCGTGACACACCACCTTTCTACACCAGCCCTTCTAAGCATTGGGCCCAGCCCTAGGCCACCCCAGATTTACTGCAGAGCACAGTGCCTCCCTACACCAGCCTGCACAAGTGGCCCAGCCCAGCCTGGAGTGGCAGTGTCAGCCAAGGCAGGCAGCTGCAGAAGCAAAAGCAGCAGCAAGCACCCTAAACTGCTGGCCCTGCATCTTTCTCCCCTGACCTGAAGAAGCAAACAGGCTGCAGTGACTGTGTTGGTACTAGCAAAGGACCCCAAACTTGCAGTGTGGTGCATACCTTTCTGCACCAGCCCTTGTAACTACCTGGGCCCAGCCCAGGCTGACCTCAGACTCCCTGCACAGGCCTGCAGAAGCAGCCCAACTCAGCCTGGGGTCACGGAGGCAGCTGAAACTACTACAGGACAGAGTAGGAGAGGCACTTGAACTTATAGGCACAGGCAAGAACTTCCTGAAAAGAGTCCCAGGGTCACAACAAATTGGAGAGAGACTGGACAAATGGGACTACTTTAAAATAAATAGTTTCTGCACAGACAAAGAAATAGCAACCAAACTAGAAAGACAGTGAACTAATTGGGGAAAAAATACTTACCAGCAAAATATCAGACAAGGGTCTAATATCCGTTATATACAGTGAACTCAAGAAAATAACCCCTCAAAAATCTAACAAACCAATCATGAAATGGGCAAGGGAACTAAAGAGAGACTTCTCAGAAGAAGAGATAAAAATGGCAAAGATACACATGAGGAAATGCTCATCGTCCCTGGCTGTAAAGGAAATGCAAACAAAAACAACACTGAGATACCACCTTACCCCAGTCAGAATGGCTCACATTCTAAAGTCAGCCAACGACAAATGCTAGGAGGTGCAGAGAAAGAGGAACCCTACTGCATTGCTGGTAGGAATGTATAGTAATACAACCACTTTGGAAAACAATCTGGAGGTACCTCAGGAAGCTAAATACAGACTTCCCTTGTGACCCAACCATACCACTCCTAGGAATCTACCCTGAGCAACAGGAACCAGAATACAAAGACACATGCACCTCCATGTATATTACAGCACTGTTCACAATAGCCAAGATTTGGAAACAACCCAGATTCTCCACTACTGATGAGTGGATCTAAAAATTGTGGTACCTATATACAGTAGAATATTATGCAGCCATTAGAAAAGACAAAATAATGGTATTTCAGGGAAATGCCTGGAACTAGAACAGAATAATTTAAGCGAACTAAGCCAAGAACAAAGAGACAAATGGTATATGGTCTCCCTGGTATGTGGGTGCTAAAGCCAAAATACAAGAAGATATGGCAAACAGGACTCAAGAAACAAAAGATAGCCACCCATTTTGTCCTATCATTGCTAAATGACCCCATGTTCTGGACTATATATATGGTAGATATATGCATGCAACAGACAGAAACCAGGAGAAGGAACAGAATAAGTGGGAACAGCACACACAAAGCAAAAAGAAAGAAATGTAAACATCACCTGATGTGGAAAAAATAACTTGTAATGTCAAAGCTCATAGAATTCACAAACTGTATAGACAATTTGCCTTGTGAAAATTAAAATGTGTTTGTGACTCTAAGAATCACTATTCCACAATACTGTGAAATTTATGTAATCACCTAATCTCAAAGGAAAAAAGTGAGAGAAGGGATGAATTCAGAGAGATGGGTAACAATGTTGTCAGACACTTTGTATTCACATACTGTTTTGTAGAATGTGAACTTCTTTGTACAACTACTTAAAGATAATTTTTTATTGTGAAAATACCATACAGAGGGGTTACAATTACAAGGGCAAGGTAATGAGTAGATTTCTATCAAGCATTATTGCCTCCTCCTTTGTTTTCCCTTCCCATCCATTCCCATCATCACCCAATCCCCTGGCCAAAGTTACAAAGCTCATTTCTCAACATAAGGACTTGTACATCTCATTGTTGCAGTGGGTCCACCTGTATCACTATTTAAAAGATTTGTTTTTTTCCTTCCCATCCCTAAGCTAGACAAGTGTATATACAAGATGCAGAGCACTGGCATCAAATACAGTGGAAACAGAGGTTACACCATGAGGGAGGAACATACAAAGAAACAAAAAAAAATCACATGGTTCATTATAAATATGTTAGCAACAATAGCAAGAAAGAAAAAACCACTTGTGTCCCTATATTGGGTTCATTTCACTTAACATGATCTTATAAGGGCATATGTACATAGTTTTTGACCTTTTTGTTTGTCCCAAATATCTACTAGTTATTGCAAATAAGAAAAACCACAGGACCGATGTATTTTGGGGCCTAGCTTACTTCACTTAATATAATTTTTTCCAAGTTTTCCATTTCCTAACAAATGGGACAATGTCATTTTTTCTGATGGAAGCAGAGAATTCCATTATATATACATATGTATATATATATATATATATATATCACATTTTCTGGATCCATTCATCTACTGAGGGGTATCTGGGTTGGTTCCATATCTTGGCTATGGTAAACAATGCTGTAATAAACATAGTTGTGCTAGTAGTCTTGTGTGTGATCATTTGGGTAAATACCCAAAAGTGGGATTGCTGGGTCATAGGGGAGCTCTATTTGGAGTCTTTTGAGGAATCTTCATATTTTCCAAAGTGGTTGAACAAGTTTACACTCCCACCAACAATGACGTAGAGTTCCCATCTGGCCACATTCCCTCTAGCATTTGTTGTTACTAGAATTCTTGATTATAGACATTCTAACTGGGGTGAGGTGGTATCTCAATGTTGTTTTGATTTGCATTTATTTTATGGCTAGAGAGATTGAGCATTTCTTCATGTCTCTATTGACCATTCTTATTTCCTTTCAGGGAAGTTTCTCTTTAAGTCTTTAGCCACTTATTCATTGGGCAGTTGCTTTTTTGAGGATTTGTTGTTGTGGGATTTAATACTTTTTTATTGTGAAATACTGTACAGAAGAGTTACAATTACATGGCAAGATAATGAGTACATTTCTTATCAAGCATCATTGCCTCCTCCTTTGTTTCCCCTTCCTATCCCTTCCCATCCTCCCCCCACCCATTTGTTTTTTGACATAACGACTTGTACCTCTCATTGTTGCAATGGGTCCAGCTGTATCCATATTTAAGCGATTTTTGCCCTTCTCCTCCACAAATTATACCAACATCAAATACAGTGAAAGCAAGGGTTATACAGTGGGGGAGGGACATACAAAGCAACAAAAAATCATCTTATAAATATGTTAGAAACAATCGCAAGAAAGAAAAACATTTTAATACTTATCTTGGCATTCATTTCACCTAACATCAAATTATCTGACCTTTTCTGCTTTTTTCAGACATATACTAGTTATTACAGACAAGGGAAACCATGGGGCCTATGTTTCTTTGGGCTTGGCTTACTTCACTTAATATGATTTTTCCCATCTTTCCACTTCCTAACAAATGGGGCAATGTCATTCTTTCTGATGGAGGCATGGAATTCCATTGTGTATATATATAGCACATGCCCCTCAGTAGATGAATGAATCAAGAAAATGTGGGATTTAATTTTTTGAATTCTAACAATTTTTTGAAGATCTAACAACCCGGGGGCTTTCTATTGATATTGTGGAAGGATCAAGATGGTGAAAATGGCAATACTCCCCAAAGCTATCTACAAATTCAAAGTGATACCTATCAATATTCCAACCTCATTCTTCAATGAAATAAAAGAAACAATCCAAAAATTCATATGGAACAATAAAAGACCCTGAATAGCAAAAACAATCCTTAGCAGAAAGAATAATGCTGGAGTAATATCAATACTAAATTTCAAACTCTACTACAAAGCCATAGTAATCAAAACAGTTTGGTACTGGTACAAGAACATACCTGAAGATGGAATAGAACTGAAAACCCAGAAATGAACCCACAGACCTATAGCTACCTAATCTTTGATAAGGGAGCTAAACAAATATAATGGAACAAAGCCAGGCTTTTTAGTAAATGATGCTGGCAAAATTGGTTTAATACCTGTAGAAAACTACAGTTAGATCCTTAGATATCACCCTGCACCAAAATAAACCCCAAATGGATCAAAGACCTCGAAGTCAAAGCGGACACTCTGAAAACATTACAGGACAGAATAGGAGAAACCCTAGGTCTCCTTGGCACAGTTCAAAATTTTCTTTTTTTGGGGGGTGGGGGGTCCAGTCATGGGGCCTGAACTCTGGGCCTGGGTGCTGTCCCTCAGCTCTTTAGCTCAAGGCTAGCACTCTACCACTTGAGCCACAATGCCACTTCTGGCTATTTTCTTTTTGCTTATGTGGTGCTGAGGAATCGAACCCAGGGCCTCAGGCATGCAAGGCAAGTGCTCTACCACTGAGCCACCTTCCCAGCCCCAAAATTTTCTTAATAGAGACCAAGAAATACAACAAATCAAAAAAAGGTTGGACAAACAGGATTGAATGGAGCTGCAGAGTTTCTGCATGGCAAAAGACATAGCTAACAAGATCAATAGAAGCCCATGGATTGGGAGAAGTTCTTCAGTAGCTATACAACGAATAAGGGTCTCATGTCTAAAATACATTTTTTTAAAAAGGAATTAAACAATTGGGCATGCAGGCTTCACGCTTTACTTGTAGCTACTCAGTACTCTGTGATCCAAGGATTGCTATTTGAAGCCAACCCAGGCAGAAATAGTCCATGGGACTCTTATTCCTAATAAACCATGCAAAATCTGGAAGTACAGCTATGCCTCAAGTGATACAGCAGAGAGCTAGCCTTGTGAACAAAAATTTAAGAAATAGAACCTGTCCCTGAGTTCATGCCCCAGGATGAGTACACAGAAAGAGAAGCGGGGCATATTAGCTAGGTGCTCATACGGAATACCTTTCAATGAACCTACACATGAATGTGTGATATTAAAATGGTTGCTCAAAGACAGGTTGCACAGAAATTCCATGAGACACTTATCTACAATTAACCACCAAAAAGCCAGAAATGGAATTGTGGTTCATTTGGTAGGGCATTAAACTTCAGGGGAAAAGTTAAGAGACAATACCCACACCCTGATTTGAAGCTCCAAGTCCAAAAACTAAACTGAAATGGAAAAATAAAGGAAGGAAGCAAGCAAGCAAAGAAGGAAGGAAGGAAGGAAGGAAGGAAGGAAGGAAGGAAGGAAGGAAGGAAACAAGGAAGGAAAGAAGGAAGGAAGGAAAGAAGAAGAGAAGTGAAGAAGGGAAGGGAAGGCAAAGGAAGGGAAGGGAGGAAACAATTTTCAAAGTATAAGTAGTTGGTAAAGACGGCACAAAGTGATTTTTATCCAGGAAGTATTAGTGAGAGTGAGATGGGAAGGGATGGGAAGGGGAAACAAAGGAGGAGGCTACAATGCTTGATAAGAAAGAAATGTACTCATTATCTTGCCCATGTAATTGAAACCATTCTGTACAGTATTTTCACAATAATAAATAAATAAGTAAATAAATAAATCTAAAAAGAAACAATATTTTGTTTCTCTATATATTTATGAAATACCCTATTACATCAGTTGTCTCTATGCATTATACATTTTGAAAATAGTAATAAAATTGTCTTCTACAGTCAAATTGTCTCCATAGAGAAACACATTCTCTGCAGAAAACATTATGTTTCTCTCCTCTGGGACACTTGTGGATACAAGGCTTGTGGTGACCCACTGAGTTAAGCCAGTCCTGCAGCTGTACCCAGCCCTGCCCACTCTCTGCTGATTTGCATGTGCTCAGAGCACAGCCCTGCCCTGAGCACTTATTCATGGGCTGCTCACACCCTGTGCAGCAGTTAGTCAGCACACAGCATAGACATGAGAACCCCTGCTCAGCTCCTGGGGCTCTTGCTGCTCTGCTTCCCAGGTAAGGAAGGACAATGCTGGAGATTAACCCAGCCTTGTATAGTCAGAGCTGTGTGGTACTTCAGGGAGGCCTCTTGTACCATGATTATAAGGTGGTTATTTGTTTTTGTTTCACTGCCAGGTGCCAGATGTGACATCCAGATGACCCAGACTCCATCTTCCCTGTCTGCATCTCTAGGAGACACAGTCACCATCAATTGCAGGGCCAGTCAGGGCATTAGCAGTTGGTTAGCCTGGTATCAGCAGAAACCAGGGAAAGCTCCCAAACTGCTGATATATGAAGCATCTAATTTAGAATCAGGTGTCCCATCCAGGTTCAGTGGCAGTGAATCTGGGACAGATTACTCTCTCACCATCAGCAGCCTGCAGCCTGAAGATGCTGCCTCTTATTTCTGTCAACAGTATGATGAGTTACCTCCCACAGTGGTACAGGTCAAAACAAAAACCTCTCAGTGAAGCAGAAGTGAGAGGCTAGGCTGTCTAAGCTACTCCTGTTTCCTCCACCAGCTGAAAGAGCTTCTCAGACACAGAAAGACTCTCAGGGTCACTTGAAGATTTTGTTAGAAGTGGCTGGGCAGAATTCTCTCTACTCTGGCTCTCTCTACAGCAGTACAAACATGACAATACCTCTCCCGATTCGATAGAGAACACGGATCAGAGCATGGTAGGAGTCTGTTCGAGAATTATTTAGGGTTCATTTGGGGTTTTTTGGTTTTTTTTGTTTTGATTTGGTTTTTTGTTGGTCCTGAGGCTTAAACTCTGGGGGCAGTCCCTCAGTTATTCAGCTCAAGGAAAGCATTCTACCACTTGAGACATAGCACAACTTGTTTAGGTTTCATTTGTAATGAATGCTAGTTAATCCAAGCAGTTGTTTTATTTTCTAATAAGATAAATTTATATAAGCTATAGCCAATCCAAGACTGGGTTATGTTACTGAGTAAAGGTAAACACCGAAGTAGAGCCTTCTCTGGTGCTCCTCAGACCCAGATCACCTACCTGTGAAACTGTAGGCCTCCTCACCTAGGTCCTTGTCCTGTCTAGACACCCAGGGGTGAGTGCTAATGCTCTCAACTGCTTATAGTTCCTCACAGGTGACCTCCATTCCTTCCCTCCACCTTAGTGTCTGCCCACAGTTGTCAGTGCTTTCTAAATCAAACTCTTCTAGATTTCCATCTTCCAGAGGACTCTTTATGCAGATACTCTACAGGAAATGTTGGTGAAAATGATTTCCAGAAGTACATGATGAAAATGTCATGTGAACACACAGAAAAATGATTACAGCAATCTACTCTTCACTCTGTTGCTTTGTAAGAAATCTCTATTCACTGTGTTTGCACAGACTTTATAAAGTTATTATTTTCAATAATTTATTTTTATGCTCCTCCGTATTTTGTTCCAAAATTCATCAGGTACTTCATTTCTCAATTTAATGTTTTTTTTTCTTGATTTACAGAATTTGGAGGAGGACAACCTGTATAATTTTGAATGTGAGTAAGTGATAGTAAACATTTCATCATTTAATACAGTCTGATGGGAAAAATATAAAATTTATCACTACTGAGAATAATATTTATCATAGATTTTTATATATGCTTTAAAAAACTAAGGTGTTTTCCCATTGTTTCTGTCTCTCTTAGACATGAATAGCTTTTGAATTAACATGAATAGCTGTTGCTTTTTAGAAAAATTTTCAACTACAATATTCATGTTATATTGTTCCTAATCTTGTTTGGGTAGTGACTTATATAGATCATCATAGATTATTTTGAAAATATCTAATTGTTAAATGACTTTCCATTTATGCGATATATTTAACTGCTCAAAATGGAGTCCTTGAGAGAAGGAGGTAGGAGAAAAGGAGGAGGAAAACAAGATGAAATTCCCTCCCTTAAGATAAATGTTGACAAGCTGAGGAGAAAAAAAAAAGTTGGTCAGAGGAAGTTGAACTAAGATTCAAAGACATGTGAGACAGTGCAATCACAGGAGTGTAATTAACCATGAACATAGATGAAAAAGGCTTGAAACACATACAAATATACACTGAAATTGGTCAATTTGTTTGTACTGGGGTTGGAACTAGGGCCTTGAACTCACTAGGCTGACATTCTCCCACTTGAGCTACACTCTCAGCTCACTGAAATTATTCTAACAGTTACACAGGTGAGGACACTGAGGAAAAGAGAGGCTAAGGAACTGGACGGGCACCACACAATCACTAACCATATGGAATCATACCCCTAACCCAGCTTTTAATTAGGCCCTGCATGAAAACAGTTGGACTCTGATTATAAATGAAGTCATATATCCTGAGTGTGCAAAGAAATTTCTGAAATTGATATAGTACAAATAAAGCCTTATGGAAGCACATAAAGCAGATGGAAAGGCAAAGAAAAGGTTATAAAAAACATGCGGTTTAGAGGAATGATGTCCAGAGCCACAGACAAGAGGCAATGTGCAAACACACACACACACACACACACACACACACTACTGTGTCCAATAGAGTTATGCTGTTTACTAATTCTGTTAAAGAATCAGGCAGTTTCAAGACTCATGAAAAATCACTCAGCAGCAAAAGTAAAATAAGTCTGTAGTATTAACTTCTGGCAAATTCTTAGTTTGAGCCTCATCTAATCAAGCACTAAAGAAACACCTAGACCTATGTTTCTTTGGGCCTGGCTTACTTCACTTAATATAATTTTTCCAAGTCTTTCCATTTCCTAACAAATGGGGCAATGTCATTCTTTCTGTTGGAGGCATATAATTCCATTTTGTATATATACCACATTTTCTTGATCCATTCTTCTACTGAGGGGCCATCTGGTTGGTTCCAGTTTCCCATATTTGCAATAACTAGTATATGTCTGGGACAAGCAGAAAAGCTCTGATAAGATGATGTTAAGCGAAATGAAACACAAGAGGGACACGTGGTTTTTGTCTTCCTTGCTATTGTTTCTAACATATTTATAAAGTACCATGTGATTTTTTTTGTTGCTTTGTATGGCCCTCCCCCGTGGCATAACCCTTGTTTTAACTGTATTTGATGTTGGTATAATTTGTGGAGGGAAAGGAAAAAACAAATTGTTTAAATAGGTATACAGACTGACCCATTGCAAGAATGAGATGTACAAGATGCTATGTTGAAAAACAAACATTATTTATATTGAGGTAGGTCAGGGGAGGTATAGTTGAAAAGGTGGGAAGGATGGAATGGTAGGGGAAAAACAAAGGAGGAGGCAAAAATGCTGGATAAGAAATGTACTTATTACATTGTTCTTGCAATTGTAACCCCTCTGTACAGTATTTTCACAATAAAAAACTTATTTTTAAAAAAGAAACAATGGGAAGCCTTGGTGTTAGAAATAGAGAAATAAGAAACAATTATTTATTCTCCTCTCCTCAAATACATCCTAATAGATTCTAGTTGATAGATGAATAGGGTGTCACAGGGACTAATTTTTTTTTGTTTTGGGTTTTTTTGTTTATATATTTTTTATTGTAAAGACACTGTACAGAGGGGTTATAGTTACATAAGTAAGTTAATGAGTACATTTCCTATCCAGCATTGTTACCTCCTCCTTTGTTTTTTACCTTCCATCCTTTCCCTCCCCACCTCCCCAAGTCATCCTCCCTCCCCCACCAATGGTGTAAAGTTCGTTTTCAACATAGCGCCTTGTACATTTCATTGTGACAATAGGTCAACCTGTATCCTTATTTCAGCACTTTGTTATTTACCTTCCCTTCCCCAAATTAGAAAAAGATACAGGGCACCAGAATCAAATACAGTGAAAACAGGAGTTATACCATGCGGGAAGAAAATACAATACAAACAAAAAGCAACTAAATTTTGCCATTAGGCTGAGATAAAGCATTTTCTCCCATAAACACTTGATCATGAGTAATTGTACTGCAAGGAAGAAGAGGCAAATGGCCGTGAAGGTATCAGCTTAGCTTCACCTTCTCCAGATGCTTTGCATGCTCTTCCCATTCTGTCCTTCTGTCAAGACCTCATTTCAATGCCAAGGCCAAGGTCTGGGGCAGATCTTTCTGAAGTAGGATCCATAGCCTTTCAGCTAGATTGATTTCCAGTGAGTGGTGAGCATTTTCCTTCACTGAATCCAAGGCCACTACTGGGAAGGGCCTTTGTTACCCCAGGTTCTCAGCTCTATCACACTGGAGGATGATTGTTTCTGTTATAACCCAGAGCAAGAATGTCAGACTTGGGCAGAGGCTCCTGATCCAAATCTCTGTAATTTATTCCAGTGCCTGAAAGTTGAGGTCAGCCTTCACATCTCCACACTCACTGAAATCACATGAATAATTAGAAAAATGATTTCATAGTCACCAATTGGGCTTGACCAACCTCACCACAGTAAGATGTACAAGACATCTGCCTTCTTCATCCTACTTAGGTGTAGTGTGATGTATCACTAAGACTCTCAGAATTCCTAGACTCTGGAGTGTGCATAATGGCTCCTCTTGCTTTGAAAATACTCTGAGTGTCCAAGGAAAAAGCAAGATATGATATCAGATTTATCAAATTTCTACCCTCCAGATCCAAGATGTTCCTTCCAGAACATCTTTACTGGCTTGAGAAGATACAAAGATTGACAGGTAATCTTTCTGTATCTGTTTGTCTGACTCTCTCTCTCTCCCTCTCTCCCCTTCTCCTTCCTCCACTTTCCTTTCTCCTTACTCTTTCTGCTCATTGGGAAAAGATAAAAGACAAGGACATGTATGCTTGTGTAGCAGTGATTTTTGTTGAAATAATCATGTCCACCATCAACACTTAGCACTTCATGATTATGAACTGTGAGATATGAAATGGCACAAAGGTGGAAAAATATGAGAGGTCTCATTGGGAAAAGATAGAAGACAAGGGCATGTATGCTTGGGTAGCAGTGATTTTTGTTGAAAGAATCATGTCCAGCATCAACACTTAGCACTTCATGCTAGTGAACTCTGAGAAGTAGTATCAAATGGCACAAAGGTGGAAAAATATGAGAGGCTTCAAATTAAGAAAAAGTATAGTTTATTTAGAAACTGGGGATACATCCCCAAAGTAAAACTATATCAGCAAAAATTGCTTCAACCTATATTGTAATTGCTGTGACTAAAACTGCCACAAAATACTTTTTAATACATTCAGAATGTTTCATATTATCTCTTTATTTAAAGAAATCAAACAGATGGGCATCTGTGCCTCATGCTTATAATCCTACCTACTCACTAGGCTGAGATGCAGGGATTGCTCTTTGAAACCAGCCCAGGCAGAAAAGTCTATGAGGCTCTTATTCCCAATTAACCATGCAAACTCTTAGAGTGGAGTTTTGGCTCATGTGGTATAGCAGAGTGCTAGTCTTCCTCATCCATGCCCTGAGTTCATGCTAACAGGATGAATACACACACACACACACACACACACACACACGCACATGCACACACACACCACACAAACACAAACTCACACACACACACACTCAAAAATGGAACATTTTAGCCAGGTGCAGATGGCTGATACCTGTCAATTTATGTACTCATGAATGTGAGAT